AGAAGCTTAGGACAAGCTGAAGACAGAGAAAGTTTGTGCCTCTTGGCTCACTTACCTTAAATCTTGTGAGATCCCGAACGAGCCCCCAAAATGATACCGGAATTGTCAGGCCTAGTCTCCCAGCCAGGAACAGACCCCAGGCTGCAGGGGCAGCGCTGAGCCCCAGCCACTAGACCCCCACGGGTTGGTGTCTCACGAAGCCGCAGCAGGAACTTCGCAGACGCTCAGGCAAGCAAGCGAGAAGAGGCAGTTTGTTTAGAGAAAGAAAAGTTTATTGAGGAGAAAAAGAACAGAAATATAGTGGGACTCCCAGGCTATGGAACCAGGCCTGGGAGAGGCAAAGAAGCCAAAGTGGAGTCCTGTCTCAGGGAATATATACCTTTTTTCCCTCATTATTCTAAAGCTCCACCAGTCTCTTTGTGATTGGTTAGTTCTTGGCTGTTTCACTCAATTTGCTACCGAGCCGGGGATCTTCACATTCCTTATCGAACAGGTTTGTCTTTTCCCATTTGTTGCATCTTTATCTTTATGGCCCAGTCCTCTGGACGAACATCCCTGCATTGAAGTTAAACAGCTGCCCCTCTAATGTGTCCATAAATTAAACCACTCTCCATTTCTCCAATCTCTGCCTCCCTTTACCACCTGAAGGAAACCAGGACCAGCGTTAACAATGTTGTCCTTGGTCCTGGGATGTTTGTTTTTCCTAGTGGAATTGGTTACATTCCCTTGGTTGTCCTTATCTCTGAAGCCTCCCTAAATTCTTCAGAGGTCCCCTCCTGCACTGTCCCTAAAACTGCCTAATTCCTAGCTTGCCCTGTGTCTCAATAGTGCGGTGCTTAACCCCTTGCACCACCAGGGAGGCACCGCTTTTTTTTAAATTTTTGCATAGAAAACTGGGCTGTAGGCCAGAGGTGTGGGGGATGAGGATTCACCAGAAATAGAGTGGGAATAGAACAGGCAGATTTTATTTTATTGAACACCTCATTTCCTTGTGGTGTCCAGCGCACACTTCAATATCTTAACACAGTGAATGACAGCAGCAGTTATACACTGACTACCTGCTTGCTGAGTGCCAGATACAGACGCCAAGTTCATGTACATGGAAGTGACTGATTTCACGTAACCCTCCGAAGTAGGACGACTGTCCCTTAAGAAGACAGGAGAAAAGGGAGACTCAAAAAGATTCAATCACTTGCCCCATATCAAGGGGTTAGTTGAAAAATCAGGACTACAAACAAGGCCCATTTGACATCAAGGTCAATGTTTTAATCACTGAAATATTCTGCTGAGGGGAGCAGCAGGCAAGACAGGAGAGGTCTGCTGTGCCATGTGGGTAGCTCCCTGGCTGGGATAGGAATCAAACTCTGGAGGTAGCAGTGATAGTACTGAGATTTGACCCTTACACCACCAGGGAGGCAAATAATTTTTTTTTTTAAGAAAAATTACTGTGGTGTGGGAAGCTGTTTTACATGTGGTAGATCAAATGAAGACAGTATTAGTGATTTATTAAACATGTTTCCTAATGTTTCCTAGTGTTAGGCCAAGGGATTTTAGCCCTGAGAGATTTTAGTCTTCTTGTGTCCTTCAATTGGTTGCTTCTTGTTCCTTTCTCTCAAAGATTGGTTGTGAGCTCCTTCTAGTTGGGACTGAGTCTTCTGCATCATTTTATCCCAGAACTTTAATGAATCAGTTACAAAGTAGTGCTTTGAATGAAGCAAGAATAAATGGGATGATGCGATCTTCCTCCTTTCGTTTTGAGAAAATGGCATGAACCTTTTCTGTTTATATAATTTTACAATGACTAAGGGGGTTGGTTAGTGAGGAGAACTAAACCACAGTGGGGATGTGCAGAGATACACTTACAACATTCTCACAGTTGTTGCTCCTTCTTAGATTTTTTTCCTTCTGTCTGTAGTATCTGGAAGCTTTTTTTTTTTTCCCACTTTTTTTTTTTTTTTTAGCTCCCTGGCTGGGATGGGGACCCCGCTCAGGCGGTAGTGGTGAGAGTGCTGAAATTTAACCCTTAAACCACGAGGAAGGCCCTCAACAAATAACATTTTTTTTTTAAGAAAAATCACTGTAGAGTGGGAAGCTATTTGGCATGTGGTAGATCAAATGAAGACAGCTTTTATTTTTCTTCTTATAAAAATCCTACCTGAGTACAGAAAATGATATAAAACAAGCATATAGCTTAATGAATTATGAAGTGAATATACGTTTGAGAACACTACCCAAGTGAAGAAATTGAAATTTGCCAGCCACTCCAGTAACTCCTCCGTCTGTCCCAGTGCAACCAAGGCCTGTTCTGACCCCAGAGAAGTCACCATCAGGTTTTTATAACCACGTTCTTATACTTTTTAATGGTTGTATCACTTACCTATGCATCTCTACATCTCAAGTACAGTCTTGACCCATTTTTCTTTTGAGTGCCTTTTAATCTGTAAAATAAACTCATCTCTCCCAAGACCTTTTCTTTTTCTTAAAATTGATCTGTGGAAGAATTGCAGGGCAGTGACACCACAGAATCCCCACCTGTCTGGGTTTTGCTGATCATGTGATTGGTGTATTCCCCTTGCTCCTCTGTCTTCTGCTTTCCCGGCAGATGGATTCGGAGGCTTCATCAGACTCAGATTAGATCCTTTTGGTGAGACCTGAGGTTTTTTGTGTGCTGCACTCTTTCATTAGGAGGTAGACAATGCCTCATTTTCTCTCTTTGATATTAGCAATGGTAGACCTGGAATCTTTCCTTTCCTCATCATGCCCTGGTTTTTTCCCATGAGAACTGAGAATTCCAAGACTATAAACTAAGTGCTACAGATGCTCATAGGGTTGATACTTATGGGTTGATGTGCAGGGTTGGGGGGAAATTTCCCCTACACCTCTCAGTAGTTGTATTGATAGAACCAGGACATGGGCTATAGCTGGAATAGACTCACTGCCAGGGTTTCTTCCCTTCTTTGTAGATTAGAGATTTGCCCTGAGGTGATTTTGCCTGTTGCCTGGACCCAGGTGCTTTAAACTTGGGTTAATGGGGCCTCCCTGGTGGCACAAGGGGTTAAGATGCAACCTATGAAGTGATCCACAGCCTCTGCAGCACAAGTTCGATCCCTGGCCAGGGAGCTACCCACATAGCATAGCAGACCTCTCCTGACTTGCCTGCTGTTCCCCACAGCAGTGCATTTCAGTCAATCCACCTGTTCTGTTCCCCATTCTGTCTCTGGTGAATCCCCTCACCACCCACACCTCTGGCCTGTACCCCAAAAGAGTGAAGAGGCTGAGTCCTTCACCCATTTACAACCAGATGATACACAAATAAAGACTATGGTCCCTAGGGGGTGAAACCAGATGACCATGTCAGGAGTGCATAAAGAGGCAAAGGGGGTAAGAAAAATATAAATATAATTGTGTTTGGAGCATTACTGGGCAGCACAGTCCAAGAAGGGAAGGGATGGTGATGATAAGGAGCCTCCTATTTGTTCACTGAAGGACTCAGATCCACAATCTCAGTTGGTGTGCAAGACAGAGGGTTCTACCTGTGCAGAACCATGGGCACAGAGGAGCAGATATCTGTGAGAGAATGCTGGAGTAGTGGATTAATACTGACAAAAGTAGATGCTATACAGCGGGATAGCAACCAGGCAACCAGAGTTGGAGGATGAAATGCTCCACACCCCTTAACAGAAGTGCTGAGGATAGTGGACAGACTTCAGGACTGCTGGTCTCCCCTGGATGAATCTCCTTTCACTGCCTCCTCTTTCCTTCTTTATTCCCTGATCACAATGTTGGTGCATTGGACCTGTCGAGGGAGGCTCATACTTCTTTGCCTTTTTGATTCTCTACCTGTCTCTGGAATTTCTTGAAAACTTGTACTTTCTCTTTTTATTAGACTGGTTACACAATCTTAACTGATTTTGTAATCTTAACTGATTTTAACTGATCAGTTAAGATTTTCTAACTCTGACCTTTCTCTTGCTTGTTGATTTTGGGGGATCTTATTTGAATAAATACACACACACACACTTTCATTAACCTTATCTTCTTCATTCTATTGTTGAACTTCTTGAGAAAACGTTCCACACACATACCCAGAAAAAAAAAAACCCACAAAAACAACAAAACAAAAAGAAAATTATCTACACGCACTCTTTTTCATTAACTCTAATTTATTTATTTAAATTTTTTTTTCACTATTTTAGCCACATTTCAAAGCATCTAATATGATCTCAGCTTCCATTACTCCAATGAAATTCTTTTTTTTTTTAAACTTAAGTAACATAGGTTTATTACATTGTATAGGTTTCGGGTGTACAGTGTTATAAATCAACATCTGTATCTACTACATTATGTTCACCCACCAAAAGTCTAATTTGTATAGGTCACAATTGACTCCTTTTACTTGATTCGCCCAACCCCTTACCTCTTTGTTTTTAGTAATGAATGCAATTTTGTTTTTAGAGTCTAAGAAGGTGTTTTTGTTTTGTTTTGCTTTTTCATTCGTTTTTTTTTTCTTTATCTCAATAAAACTATCTTGCCGAATCTCCTCATAACCAGATTTTGAGTTTCTTGTCTTTTTCCTCATATGGGTTTTTTGGTGTGGAATGTCCTTTTTTGTGTTGGCAGTGAATTGCCTGCTGGACATGCAGGTGAGGTTATTTTTTTTTTAAGATTTATTTTTATTTATGCATACAAGAGCTGGGGTACAGGCCAAAGATGTGGGGGTGAGAGGATTCACCGGTAACAAAACGGGGAACAAAACAGGCAGATTGACTGCCCCCCGTACACTGCTGAGGGGAGCAGCAGGCGAGTCAGGAGAGGTCTGCTGCACCAAGTGGGTTGCTCCCTGGCCTGCCGGGGGTCGAACTTGTGCTGCAGAGGCTGAGGATTGCTTCATAGGTTGCGTCTTACCCCTTGCACCACTAAGGAGGCCCTGCAGGTGAGGTTTATTAAGTGAATGAATAATCAGCAGGCAAGTAAATGTGACTCTACTGATTCTCTTACAGAGCTCTCTAAGTTTCCTGGCATATTTAGAGAAACAAGCTCTAATAGATGAAGACAATCTGAACTTACTGGTGGATCTCTTCAAAAACACTAAGCCTATCCTTATGAGAAAGATAGAAAAATATAAAAAAGAGAAAGGTAACTCACTTATGCTTGTTTCTTGTACCATACCATGGGAATTCTTAAACCAGTATCAATTGTATGATATTTACTCATCATGTATAATATTATTGGTCGTGTATGAAAAGGCAGAAATCTCCATTTGTTCATTCAACACATATTAATTGAATGTATACTTTGTGCTTCTAAGGTATAGCTTAGAACTAGGACATAATTCAAACCTGACTGCTTCACCATGTACCAATATGATAAATATTTGAATTTTCCTGAATAAGAGCATATTCATGAATCTTGTTACTCCATGCCCCTATTTTAATTCAGTGAACTAATCTAGTGTGCAAATTTGGTTAAAAATGAAACTAGCTGAAAAAAACACTCTAAGGATTCTATGAAAAAATATTTGAGGAACAGAATATATGGTTTTTAAATATGTAAAATCTCGAATAACTGAAGCATTGAAAAAGTGCGTTGTGTAAGTAAACATTGTAAAAAATAAACACTTTTTTTCTAACCATCAAGTTATCAAGTGAGAAATAAAAATCCGGAAGTTTGTAAGACTTGGTTTTCCTCATCCTACTGCTGTTTCCCTGTAACAGCATCCATGCCAGTTAACATCCGGGGGTGGTCAGATTATTTTGGTCATTTGAGCTCTGGAGAGGACACACTAGTTTCTATGTAGTGAATGTTTACATTTGTCTCAGTGTTTCAAGGATTGAGCTTTATACCAGAGGAATTATAGTTTTGATTTTTCTACAACTTACCTGCTGTGTAACCTCTACAGTGTTGAAAAAGAAAACTCTTGCTTTCCTCTGCTGCTTCTCACACTAACACTTCTAGAACTGTTCTGAATTCAGCTGTTTAGATTTTTCCACACCAAGCAATTCAATTGTCTATAGGCACAAAATTGGGTGTTCTACAATTTAGTTTCATTCTGGAACTAACCAGAATTAGCATAGATTCCACAGGTTAAGGACCCGTACCCCGAGCTTCTTCCACTTCTGGCCAATTTCAAATAGCAGGTCCCTGTATGACCCACAACCTGTCTCACTGCTATAAATCATGGGTTCCCTTGACCTCCTTACTCTCAGGTTTAATGATTTGCTAGAATGGCTCACAGACTCAGGAAAACGGGTTATGTACTAGACCGATAGTTATCATAAAAGGGTAAAATTCAGGAGCAACCAAATGGAAGGGATTCACAGGACAAGGCATGGGGGATGGGGCTCTTTTTCAGGTGGTTCAACCTCCGAGCATCTCCAGATGTTCACCAGCCTGGAAGCTTTTCGAGCCCCTTGATTAGGATTTTTTAAAAAGTTTTATTTATTGTTTTGGCATAGAAGAACTGGGGTATAAGCCAGAGGTGCGGGTGGGGGTGGGGGTGAGAGGATTCACCAGAGACAGAGTGGGGAGCAGAACAGGCAGACTGACTGAAACACACTGTTAAGGGGAGCAATGGGAGAGATAGGAGAGGTCTGCTGTGCCATGTGGGTTAACCCTCTCACCAGGAACAATAGAGATGATAGCACTGAGACTTAGCTCCTAGGCCACCAGGGAGACCCAGATTTGTTCATTTATTAATTTAATTTATTTTTAATGGAGGCTTCATTATGTTATAGGACAGGGAGAGGGGCAGCCCAAACCTCGCAAACCTTCCTATTCTATATAGGGTTCTGTCCTCTGCTGCATTAACACAAAACATGAGACTTTAATGGGAAGGAACTTTAATACAATTAGGAAACAATACAGGAAAGGCAAAGAACCTGGTTTCTAAATCAAGCACCCAAAGTTACCCGTCCCCTCGTGGGTAAAACTCCATCCAAATGGGATTGGCCCAGAGCAAGGCCCCAAAGCCTGCCACAAGTCTAAAGCATCTTCCAGTGGGGACCCACAGAAAAGGGTCAGAAACAACCAGACAAGCCCGGAAGAAAAGAGCAAAATCAAAATCAAGATAAAAGCTGCCATTGTTACCTCCCCACTGGTCTCACCCACATCTGTGTTACCCCGTCCACAACCAAAAGACAAGCGCAGTTTCTTCACGTGTCTCTAGGCTCCATGTGCCTCCCCCAGGTCTCCTTCTGGCTCCATCCTGCTTCCTTCCTTCCTCAGTGTCCTCTGTAACTTCTCTCCCTGCTCAGCTCCACCTGCCCTTGGTTGGGGCAGGAAACCTGGAACCTCCCCCTTTCCTGGGAACCACCTTGTTACAATTATGGTAGGCATGGTTGATTACGTAAATGGCCCTAATGATTCACTCAGCCCCTCTGTCTTTCCCAGAGTTTTGGGGTGGGGCTGAAAGTTCTAACCCTTTAATCTCAAGGATTGTTTCCTGACAAACAAGCCCCATCCTGAGGCTATCCTGGGCTTCCAGCCATTCCATTAGCATACAAAAAAACACTTGTTAAATATCCAAAGGTTTTAGGAACTGTGTGCTCCTAAAAGGGAGAAGACACCAACTATATCGCCAAATATATCATAGATGTCACTATTTTAACATTGACTTTCAAGGGTCTTAAGAATTTGGGACTAATTCTACCATTTAAGATGGAAAACTAAAGGACCAAGAAGATGGTAGGTATATAGATTTTAGACTTTTCTTTACGTGTGATCCAAAGACAAAATCCATTCTGATTGGGCTATGAGCTCTATTTAAGGATCACCTGGATAATTTCTGAGTTTTCCTGAACCTTGGTGTTTCCTTTAGTATTTTCAATTATTAAAAATGACATTATAATAATAAAAATAAAATAAAATTTTAAATAATAATCAGTAACATACAGTGTAGAAAGTAAAAAGGCTCTCCTACTGCCAATTCATTTCTTAGAGATAACCACAGTTTTGAGAATATTTTTATAGCTTTTCTCCTATAGAGAGATAGTTTTGTGTATGTAGATTGATAGATATAATATACATTTGACCAAGATCATGCTAATCATATTCTATAACTTGCTTTTTCTCCACCTAATATATCTGACATCTTCCCATGTATATAATATAGATAAAGCTCATTCTCAATAATGGTTTTATCAAGTACAGGGGAAAATTTCCCAGACCTCTGGATTCTCTCAAATTGGCTGATCAATTAACATCAAACATATTAGTAGGAGAAAAGAACAAATTTAATTTACACATGTATGGAGAATCTACATGACTAAATTTTAAAGCAAGTGAGACAGACCTGAGGTTTATATCCTTAGCTAAGAAATTGAATAGGTACCTGGAGCACTGAGGTGAGAGGAGGGTTCCCATGTGGCAAGGAGGTGATGCCTTCATGTGACAAAACCTTGACTCTAGATGCTTACCTTTCTTTTTTTTTTAAAACATCTGTGTTTTATTTATTTGTTTGTTTATTTATTTTAATTTATACAAGTACTGGGTACAGTCAGAAGCGCAGGAGGGTGAGAGAATTCACCAGAGCCAGAGCGGGGAGCAGAGCAGGCAGAAGGACTGAAGTACACTGCTGAGGGGAGCAGCGGGCGGCAGGAGAGGCCTGCGCGCCATGTGGGACCCTCCCCTAGTGGCCGGGGAGCAGCCGGGGATCGAACCGGCGCTGCAGAGGCCGCGGGCAGCTTCGCAACCCAGTGCTCAACTGCTGTGCCCTAGATGCTTACCTTTCTTTAAGGGAGGTTTCTCTAATAAAAAGGTTATTTGTGGAGATGGTCCTAAAACTAGGTAGCCTGTAGTTTTTATACGTATATTGTCTCCTGAGGATCAAAGGGTCTGGACAGACCTTAATTCCACATACCAAGATGACTTATTTTGGAAAAAGCCATCTCTGGACATCTTGGAAAAATCAGTCTGAAAAATTTTTTGGAAGACCAATTCTGCAGTTCCATAGAAATACATTTTATGTATGTAAATTTTATTGAGTCACCACTTTTTAATGTTTTTTCCTTCTTTCCTTCCATCCTTCTTTTTGCTATTATACTCTGAATTCTGATTTCATTTTTTGAGGTTTTATAATCTCAATTTGGCAATCATCTACCACATAAGTACTATAGGTGCTAAAATAGTATTTAGCATGTAGTAGCTTTAAGGAACTAATAGAATAATAAAAATGATAAAACATAAACAATACTGAGACAGGGCAAGCTAGGGTTATTAGGCAGTTTTAGGGATAGTGCAGGAGGGGACCTCTGAAGAATTCAGGAAGGCTTCAGAGATAAGGACGAGCAAGGAAATGAAACCAATTCCACTGGGAAAAACAAACATCCTAGCACCACAGATAATCTTGTTAAGGATGGTCCTGGTTTTCTTCGGATGATAAGATAAAGTGTAAAGATGCTCACCGGGAGGGCTAGACCATAAAAATAAAGATGTAACAAATGGGAAAGACAGACCTGTTAGATAGGAATGTGAAGATCTCCCACTCAGTAAGTAGCAAATTAAGTGAGACAGCTGAAAACTGACCAATCACAAAGAGACTGGTGAAGTTTTAGAATAATGAGGGAAAAAAGGTATATATTCCCTGAGACACAATTCCATTTTGGCTTCCTTGCCCCTCCCAGGCCTGGTTCCCTGGCCTGGGAGTCCCGCTTTATTTCTGCTCTTTTTCTCCTCAATAAACTTTTTCTTCTAAACAAACCTGCGCGCCCTCGCTTGCTTGCCTGAGCGTCTGCGAAGTTCCTGCTGCCGCTTCGTGAGACACCAACCCGTGGGGGGTCTAGTGGCTGGGGCTCAGCGCTGCCCCTGCAGCCTGGAATCCGTTCCTGGCTGGGAGACTAGGCCTGACAATTCCGGCATCAATACTAAATAATATGTTATAATAAAAGGAATAAAAATTGATAACTAAAATAATTTATAAATTCACACTTTTTCCCTGTAGATCTCTTTAAGCAAATGGCACTATAAATCTATAGGTTCCTTTAAAATAATTTATTTTGATGATTGGTTATCTTGGATTGCTGCTAGTCACAAGGTGATTTTCCTCTCTGTGATTCTATTTCCAGCCAACCAGGTTGTGATATCACCTATAAAGGAAAGTGAGTCATTGTATCAAGGAAATGAAGAACTCTTTTCTCCTTCAGAAATTAAAAGCTTCTCCAAAGCCTTGCTGGTATGTTCAGTGGTGTGTTGGTTAATGTTTAACCACCAGCTCGCCTCTCTACCCCCAACTCCCAAAATGATAGAAATTGTAAGTGTGTGTGTATGTGAGTGTGTGTGTGTGTGTGAGATTTGGGGGAAGGAGGGAGGAAAGAAGGGAGTGCTGATTTGGCATAATTTATAGTGTCGGGTGTGAGTATTCCCACCATGGCTGATTTCAATGTACTGATGTGGCATCAAGTGGATTGCAGAATCCTGAAAATCTAATTGGCTCTGTCTAGATGGTTTGAACTGCCTCCAGAATAACACTGGATTGTTTTGAAATGGCCAAGAGGTGCGGTGGGTGAGAGGATTCACCAGAAACAGAGTGGGGAGCAAAACAGGTGAATCTACTGAAATATACTGCTGAGGGGAGCAGTGGGTAAGACAGGAGAGGTCTGCTGTGCTGTGTGGGTAGCTCCCTGGCTGGGGATTGCACTCATGCTTCAGTGACTGGCAATAGCTTGATAGTGCTGAGACTTAACCCCTGTGCCACCACGGAGGACCCACAATGCTATTTTTTAAAAATAACATTTTATTGATTTACCATTGATTTACAATGCTGTTAATTTTTGGAGTACAGCTTCATGCTGTTCCATGTGTGTAAACCTCAGCATCCTCACCAAAGTTCTAGTGCATTCCCACGATCTGCTCTTTCCTCTATTCATACTTCTTTTCCCTTTCTGGTAACCACCACATTATTCACAGAGTCTTTAAGATTTTTGTTATGATTTATTAGTTCATTTGTTTTGATTATTTATATTCCACATATGAGAGAAATTATCCAGTATTTGCCTTTCACTTTCTGATGTATATCACTTAGCATGATCACTTCAAGTTCCTGTGATGCTAATTTTGATTTTAGTGTGCAAATGTTTTCTGTTTTCTTCACTATATTAATTTTATATAATCAATTTTATATAGTTACTATTTCTCCACTTGTAATTAATAAGCAACTGGTGGGGAGACATTTTAAGACCATGCAAATATTCTCCTCTGTGTTGACCAAAATAATTAGGCCAAAAAGTGTTTATTCAAGAACAGGGCATAGGAGCTGGGTCTATGACCAAGGGATCCCCCAAGGTCTGTGCCTCCAGGGACGTAGGATCAGTCAAGGAAGTGCTCTGAATTTTAGGTCATTTGTTATGAAATATTGCATAGTCTGGCAAGGGTCTCTAGATAGAAGGCACCAGTGTGGGGTCCTTTATAACAATAAACAGATGGTCTCTTGTTTCTTTTCCTGAAGAGAAAGCAGTGTGTTGGTTAGTTAGACAGTACTCAGCGGCTCACCCAGAACAGAACCCAGAACCAGGATGGAGTCTGTTTGATTCCAAGTATTCCTCATCTGTATCAAAATATCCCCCTGGATAGAGCACCCACTGGTGATTCTTGCATGTTTCAGTATTTACTATGTTGGCTGAAAAATGATTTTCAAATTCCATCATTATCTCCATATTTTTAAGTAAGCAGTCAGCATTCTGTTGTAGGCAGAACACTTCTTTTCTCCCCCAGTTTTTTTTTTTTTCAGTTAGCCTTGTTTTATTATTTTTTAATTTTTATTTTATATATTTTATATCATTTTTATTTTTATACAATGTATGCATTTTCATCTTGGTTATCATCCCCATAAAATTCCCACCCCCTCCCCCATTTTGACCTTACAGGAAAAGGACTAATTATAATAAAGTAAAAATCAAAATCAACAGGGAGTAGGATCTCCCTCAGTCTTTTATTCCACTAAACTTAATTCCTCCTCCACCCACTTACTAAACCAGTTTTGAATTAGATATTGGCATGCATGTAGAAAAGACACACACACACACACACACACATCAGAATTTACTCTTTGTTGCTTAGAAAATCAAGCCTATTTAAGGGGTGCGACTGTCTCAGCTGTGGTTTCTGAAATGCTGCTGTTTTGTTGCTATTGGATGATTCTGCCTAAAGCCAGATAAAGATGGGGGTAGTTGGGGTGTTGCATGCGCAGGAGGACTTTTGGGATCAGCTCCTGTCTTTACATTCGTTCTCATATGATGGAAGTTGTCTTATAAGTTATCTAGGCAGCCCTCCCCTCTCCATGAAGTAATGGATAAAACAAAAGTTGACAAAACATCTCTTGCTTCATATGCATTTGAGAGGTTTTCTTATATAAATGAGAACTGCCAACGATTGGATTTGAATAAGAAACTCTGTATTTCAAATAATGAAATTTGCCCTAATTTGTGTAAAAAACACATTATGTTTTCCAGTGCCTTAAAAAGAGGCGCGCGTCTTTATTGAGATTGTCTGTTCAAGTCACTAGGGATTCCCTCTTGAGAGCAGTCCAGAAAAGACTCAGTGTGGACAGGCAGTGAGTCATTCATTTACCCACTCCTCTCTGACACAGAGACTTGGGTGGGTCAACTGAGGATGCAACATTCTCAGTGAAAGAGAGCCAAGCAGACCTTAGAGCTTCTTTGTAGTCTCTATCCTCAACACAAGGTAGGAGACAAAGCTGGGAAACCAGGGCCCTGGGATGCTAAGAAGAGCCCACTGTACTTCTGTGAAGCAGAAAAATTACTCAGTTGCCATCAAAACTAACTGGACTTGCCCTAAACAGCCTGACTGGCCCTGGGCTGTTGCTGAGAAGGATTCTAGGTTCTGCAGGTTAGGTAATTTGGCTCTGAAAAGAAAGGAAAGTCTTCTGGAAAGTGAAACTCAATTTCCTCAGAACTGTGGAATTCTGGTTTTGCACAGCCTGGGAGGGGAGTGAGGGCTGCCCAGCTTTGTTCTCACTTGAAGATAAGAAAGGAGCTTGAAGCCAGTAGCCTGGTAGGTTCCAGCAGTGACGTGGGGGTGACGGTGACTTGCCAGTCGCCTCTCACTGGTGTCCTCACACTGCCTCCACACAGCAATTGACAGGTCAGGCCCTCCCCAAAACACCTTGGTAATATCCCTTGTGGTGCTTTCTACTGCAGACTAAGGGCTGGGGCTGGGGCTGGGAAGGGTAACACTGAAGAGATAAAGGCCTTCGGTGATGTTTTCATGCTACATTCAATGATATTAAACACCAGTGAAAGCCCAAAGTAAAAACTACAGATTATACTTAGAGAAGTCTGCAAGGCACCCCTGTCCCTCTTCTGCTCCCCCATAGATTACCATTATTATTTTTTTTAAGATTTATTTATTTATTTATTTATTTATTTATTTATTTATTTATTTATACAAGAACTGGGGTACAGGTCAGATGTGCAGGAGGGTGGGAAGATTCACCAGAGACAGAGTGGGAAACAGAACAGGCAGACTAATGAAATACACTGCTGAGGGGAGCAGCGGGCATGACAAGAGAGGTCTGTGCACCATGTGGGGCCCTTGCTGGCCAGCCAGCCGGGATTGAACCGACGCTGCAGAGGCTGTGGACAGCTTCACAGCGCTGCGCTCAACTGCCTGCGCCACCAGGGGAGGCCCGATTACCATTATTTTTTAAAGATTTATTTATTATGCATACAAGAGCTGGGATATAGCCCAGAGGTGTGGGGGTTGAGAGGATTCACCAGAGACAGAGTAGGGAGCAAAACAGGCAGATCTACTGAAATCACTGCTGAGGGGAGCAGCAGGCGAATCAGGAGAGGTCTGCTGCACCATGTGGATAGCTCCCTGGCGGGCCGGGGTTTGAACTTGTGCTGCAGTGGCTGCGGATAGCTTCATAGGTTGTGTCTTAACCAGGGAGACCCTATTAACCCAAGTTTAAAGCACCTGGGTCCAGGCAACAGGCAAAATCACCTCAGGGCAAATCTCTAATCTACAAAGAAGGGAAGAAACCCTGGCAGTGAGTCTATCCTAGCTATAGCCCATGTCCTGGTTCTATCAATACAACTACTGAGAGGTGTAGGGGAAATTTCCCCCAGCCCTACACATCAACCCAGAAGTAATGAGCATCCGTAGCACTTAGTTCATAGTCTTGGAATTCTGAGTTCTCATGGAAAAAAACCAGGGCATTATGAGAAAAGAAAAGATTCCAGGTTTACCAGTGCTAATATCAAAATAGAGAGAAAATGAGGCATTGTCTGACTTCCAACATTAATGAGACTGAGGGCATAGAGCTGTTTGTTTCTTTTTTGGTTCCTGTTTTTAAACAACTGAAGCCACTTCTTTTCTGCTTGGATCAAAGGCATTCCATGTTTTCTGGCCCCCTGGAGCTGTTATAGAGCAACCCCGATATTAAACGGGTTCCTGGCTGTGGGTCCTCACCGGCGCGCTTTAAAGGGACTTATGAATACTCTACTACAGACATACGCAAAAGGGTTAATAAAAGGTTTATTTACAAGAAAAAAAGAAGTAAGGAAAATGTACAACTCAGGGAGAAAATAGGGAAATAAAGTCTTTAATGCGTCCTACCCGATCCGACGACCTGGAAACCCAAAGTCACTCCCAGAGCTGGCCGGACGCTCCGAGCTGGCCGAGAGCCCAAAAATGGAGAGCCCCACTAAGCCCACGTGTCTGCCTTTTGTATCCACCTGGCTGCTTAACCCCACCCTCAGGTCCCAGCCACCTTCCCTTTGGTGGTGATGGGATTTGGAGTTCCCAGTGTCTTTGGCTTTGACCTGGGGTGGGGGTCGAGTCCACAAAGCCTGTATGGAATTTGCTTTGGGACAGGCTTTTCCCCCTAACACTGGGGTGGGGGTGGAGTCCACAAAGCCTGTATGGAATTTGCTTTGGGACAGCCTTTTTCCCCTAACAGAGCCAGTTCAACTAATTTGTAATCAATGCTGTTTACAATAGTCTTAAAATAATTGTACATATTTAAAAATCGCCATTGTGAAATATTATTTTTATATTCAGAAATAAAGTTACAAAAGAGATTTTTCTGTTTGCAGAGGCCTCAGATTCTTCAGAATCTTACCAATTGAAAAAATAAATTCCCATATGATATTTTTGTTTTGTTAGATCCTTATCTGTGCTTTTCTTACGTGGCTAATCTAAAGGGAAAGATATTTTTGCATAAACCTCAGGTTTGCCAAAGTTGAAATATATTTTCTGATTTTTAGCACTTGAGAATTGATGTTCTGCAATCAAACCAGGTGACGTCTGAATTTTAATTAGGGCCTGGCATTCCATTTTGGAATAAATTTATTCCATACCAGGACCGGGACCTTGAGAGCTTTCTGCCTTGGTATTGATAAATAAGGTAGTTGGTTAGAAATAATAAACCATTAAAATGAGGATTCCCTAGTAAGTGACTCTATCGCTTCTTCTTTCTAGGAGGCAGATGTGTATAGGATGGATGGAATATTCAGAGGTCACTGTGTCATTGTCAACAATGAAACTTTTACTTCCCGGAAACCTAGACGAGGCACCTGTGCAGATGCTGGTAAGAAAGTCTGGAATAGAGTTTCAAAGGCAACTTGGGGCTCTTAAAAACATTTTTCATTTTCACATTTTGTGTAATTTTTAATCTTTCATTTAAATGTAAGAATGATATCATAAATATTTTTATGTCATTGATTTCCCTGGTGTCTCAGTCCATCTGGGCTGATTTAACAAAATACCATAAACCAGGTGAGAAGAACCCAGGTATGAGCTCTGACTTCGCTGCTAACTCAGCTTGTGACCTTGGGAGAGTAGTGGGGCCTCAGCTTCCCCATCTGCAAAACAGGATGAAATTCAGTCCCGTGCTGATTCTTGGCACCCTTGTGACAGCGCTGTGGATATGATAAGAAGACAAATTAATTGTTTCAGGAAAGTTTCAGGAAATTTGCTAAGCAATTTTTCTATCTATTAGCAATCTGACACCTTTATTTTATTTCATTCAATTTCATTACATTATCTTTCCTTTCCTTACCCTTTTTACAGAGTTCCTGTCCCATGTATTTGATTGGCTTGGGTTTGCCATAGACAGAAGGGATAATGTGACTAAGGAAGAGCTCGAGGGTATTCTGAAGAAATACCAGCACTTTCCGGACCATGCTAAGGGAGACTGCTTTGTGTTCTGTGTTCTGACCCATGGGGATCGTGGAAAAGTCTACACTTCAGATGAGTTCCTCGTTGGCATTGAGGAGATCATGTCTCATTTCACACTTCAGCAGTGCCCTGATCTGGCTGGCAAACCCAAACTCTTTTTCATCCAGGCCTGTCAGGGTAAAGAGAAACAGCCTTCCTTACCCATTGAGGCAGATGCTATAAATCCTGAGCAGCTAAATCCTGAACATCTTTCCCATCAGAAATATCTTCCCGATTGGGTGGATATGCTTCTTGGCCTGTCTACTGTCCCTGGCTTTGTTTCTTATCGGCATGCATATACAGGCAGCTGGTATATTCAATCTCTGTGTCATCGTCTACAGGACATGGTCCCAAGGTGAGAGTTTTGAGTTGTTCCATCCACCTACCTGTTCATCCATCTGTCCACCTACAAGTCACGCATCCCAAGTCATCTGTCTATCCGAATGTCTGTCCGTTGCCCACCCATCAAAACATCCGTCCTTGCCTCCCTCCCTCTTTTCCCTCTATCCATCTGTCCATTAACAAACCTGTATTAAGCACCAGCAAGTATTCTTAAACATCTAATATGGAATTGAAAATGTATATATAATTTAACTTTTTCAATAGTAGAAGTATTTCTTTATATTTGGTGGGATTCCAGTTAGAATCTGAGCATATTAGACTTGGAAGAGCCCACAATTTATTTTTTAAATGATGAATTTTTGACTTCAATTTTTCTTTTCTTTTTTTTTTAAGATCGATTTATTTATACAAGAACTTGGGTACATCCAGAGGCATGGGAGGGTGAGAGAATTCACCAGAAACAGAGTGGGGAGCAGAACAGGCAGACAGACTGAAAGCACTGCTGAAGGGAGCAGCGGGCGAGACAGGAGAGGTCTGCTGCGCCATGTGGGAATCTCCCTGGCTGGTCGGGAATTGAACCCGCACTGCAGAGGCTGCAGACAGCTTCACAGTGCTGCGCTCAACCCGCTGCGCCACCAGGGAGGCCCTGTGGCCACATATTTTGGGGGTGTTCTTGCTAAAACCTGATACATGATTTGTTTCCTGATTGAAAATGATTTTTTCTTCTCTGCCTATAGGCATCGTGACATCTTAACCATCCTCACTGCTGTCAACAAAGATGTGAGTGAAAAAGAGGATTCACAATCACCTGGAACAAAGAAACAAATACCCCAGCCTTCTTTCACACTGCGTAAAAGACTAATATTCCCTGTTCCGCCCCAAAAGTAGAGAGTAGAGAATTTTCATCAACTTTTAGACTTGAAAAAAACAGCTCTTCCAGCCTCCTACCCAGCATAAGAATCAGTGACAGATGTTATCTACCTGTCATTCTAGTAATAGAAAATGCCCAATTTTCAGACACACCGTATTTTGTTTTCTTTTCACCAGTGTAAATGTTGCAACACTTTCTTTGTTGAAGCCTTGGGTTGTAGTCATGTTTTTAGTTGTGCACCCAGAGGAAAAAAATAATTTGACCTTTATTTGTACATCTGTGAAGTAAAAAATTATGGCTAGGTACGTTTATAGTTTCTTTTAGCTTTAGGAACTATTATCCTTAGCCTAGACTGAACCTCTTTGTATGACCATTCCTTGTTAGAACTTGGTCTCCTCTGCATCCTCTTGTTTTGGACATTGGATGATGACAAGGTCATGGTTCTCTGACCTTCTCTCTGCTCTCCCCTTCCTAAGGGGGTTTCTTTAATGCAATGTAAGGGAGGTATTCCTGCAGGCCATCTCTTTTGGACTGGGAGCAGTGTTGGCTCTAGGAAAGTGACAGTTCAATGTGAAGAGAGGCACATGCGGCTACTCTGGGAGCAGAAATGTTACAAACTGATATCAAATTCCACATTAATCAGAAGCTTTTGGATGCCAGTGATGGACTATTCGGTTCTAACCAACTAAAACAAAGAAGGGGACGTATTGCCTCTTTCGCCCGTAGGTGCACGGAATGGTGGTGTCAGCTCCAGGTGAGGCTTGGACCAGGACTTTGTAGTGCTGTGTCTCTTTCTCTCGGTCAGCTGTCCTCTGGGTTGGCAGCTGCAGGTACTGATGACAGACAAAGCCCCCACTTTGTCATTAACCTGGTCTGCTCCTCTGGCCCAAAGAACAAAGAGAAAGGTATTTTGAAGTGAATGTCCTCTGTCCTTCACCAGAGGTGTGTCTTGTGCACTATGCCTTGTGAAGGGAGTGCCTTTTTATAGAAGCCTTACTACTTTTTAAATTAAGGTTTTGAACAGCTTTATGTTCTTTTTCAATTTCAAGAGGAAGTAGTTTTCTTTTTTAATTCCTAGAAGAAGGTCTATTAAAAGTCCTTTGGTTAGTACTTTCATTGTAGATGAGGAAATGGAGGCTTGAGAAGCAAATCAATTTGCTAGAGTCCACTGACCAGTTACTGTTCACAGGATTGTATTTCCCACTCAAGTGAACTAGACATACAAGAACTTTGTGAACATTTCTTGGGATATGCAGGTGCTCATGGAAGATAACAAAGAATAAGGAAAAATAACTGAGTAGTGCCAGATTTTATTACTATTTCTGTGAAAGTTAATTTATGGTAAATTTACTATGAGAAATATTTATAGCAACCTTGTTATAATATAACTAGTAATTACATGGGTTTGAACAGAGCTTGACCAAGGAGAGTAATCTAATACATATGTCAGGAAATCTTCAACCATTGTTCATATAAAGGCAAAGCTTGTGGTTTGTCCAGTTGGATATACACAACTTTTGGCCAACATCGTCTGCAATTGAAAGATAGTATGGTGCAAAGGAAAGAGCAAAGGATCAGGAAATAGACACCTTGGGTTTCTATTTTGTCCTAGGATTCCTTTGGTTTGAGACTCTAGCTCAAGTTAGCTTTTAGAGCTTTATCTGTAAGGTAGAGAGAATATACATTTTTAATGTAATAGCTATTGACAGTGTGTTTTCTTTAAAAAGTATTTTATTATTTTTACTGAGGTAACATTGGTTTACAACATGATTTGCACCTCTTCAGATGCATGTTATGATTACATGCACCTCTTCAGATGCATATTACCTCACCACACCCACCACCAAAGCACCCACAATCCTCCACCATGATCCATTGTATCCCCTTCCCTCTTTGCTGACCTTTCCCTCCCCTCTCCTTCTGGCAGCTGCAGCTCTGCAGTCAGATTTCTAGTGTTTGTTTTGGTGTAGTTTTTCTTTTCCTTTGTTCTGTTGTAAATGGCAAGATTTCATCTTTTCTTTTCCTTTGTTCTGTTGTAAATGGCAAGATTTCATCTTTAAAAAAAACAGCTGAATAGTATTCCATTGTGTAATATAACACCTTTATCCAGTCCTCTATCCTTGGGCCCTTAGGCTGTTTCCATAATGAGGCTGTTGTAACTAGTGTTGCAATGAACACAGGAGCGCACTTAGCCCTTCAAATATGTTCAGGTAGTTCAAATGCCTTCAGGTAGTTACCAAGGAATGGAATTTCTAGATCCCTTGGTGGGTCTATTTTTAATATTTTGAGGAACCTCCATACTGTTTTCCATAAGGACCGGACCAGTCTACCTTCCACCAAAAGTATATGAAGGTTCTTTTTCTCCACATCCTTCCCAATACTTGATTTTTCTGCTTGTTTGTTTTTTTTTTAATCTGGGCCACAGCACTAAGGTAGTACCTCACTGTGGTTTTACTTTGCATTTTCCTGATGATGATAATGAGCATTTTTTTTTTCATGTTTCTGTTGACCATGTCTCTACATCTCTAAAGTAGAGGGAGTATCATCTATGAATCTATGGGGAGGATTAATATCTAATTGTTGTGAGATGTGCGAGAACTTTAGGAGGTAGCATGTTCTGGTTGTAACCTGAATGGAAAGAGCAGAGTTTGAATTCTTTTGCTTTTAATTCCAGCTGACTTTTAGTTGCAAATTAACACTAGCAATACCCAATGACATCCTGTGAGTGAGGACCTGCTTCTTCCCTGACTGGTTCATACAGTATCTCCAGCAGCAAGACTCTTGGCTGTAAGTCCATGGACCAAGTACTGCTGGTGAACTAACTCCCCTTCATCAGAAACATTGAGGGCTTGGTGTTTAAGTCCTGGGTCTGTGGTCTGGTTCTTATTTCTGTGTTTCTGGAGACTCCAGGAATTGTGTTTTCAGAAGCCTTCAGCAAGCTCTGTAGGAGTCATTAGATTTCATGCCTGTGATTCACAGGTTAATACAGACGATACCAGGAAGCAGTCATCCTGAGCTCATTTCTCCTAGATTGAGGGTATACACTTGGTATACACTTGTCCCTGGTCTGCAATTGCTCTGTGTGTGTGTGTGTGTGTGTGTAAAAGAGAGAGAGAGAGAGAGAGAGAACAAAGGACATGATTTGCTCACAGCAATTTGGCGGTGGCTACAGCCATTTTTCTGTCCAGACATTTACAAAGGAAATGGGCAGATTGAGTGAGGTTTCCATCTATTTGCTTATTTTGCTTACCTTACAAGCACTGCAGTTATTACTATTATTTTAAATAGAAATAGATATAAGGAAAAGTTTATTAAGAAGAAAAGGAACAGAAACAAAGTGGGACTTCCAGGCTGTGGAACCAGGCCAGGGAGAGGTAAGGAAGCCTGAAGTAATTTTTTTTTTCTTTTCTTTCTCTGAATTTGGCTTCTACCAAACAGAATGAAGGGCATGCAAATATTGATAAAGTATTATGTAATTGTTAATTATTTAATACTGATAATATTGGTGTTTATTATTACGCTGTTAGTTACCATAGCATTCTGCTTCAGGAACTCACCTTAGTGGTGGGCAGGGTTGATGCTATAGGATTTCCCTTAGCAATGCATTATAGTCTGCCAATACTCAGGTAATTTAAATATCTGTGCAACTGGTATAGTGTGGATACTGATCAATCAGAGCAGACACTGACTAGTCTAGCACAAAGGTGGATTCTGCTTCATAGGTGCTCTTTACTAGTGATCAAATCTCTGTTGAATCAGATTAGGAGTTTACCTTATTTTATAAATAACTTTGGTGCTGTATTTGATTCACAAAATCCACCAGGTCAGATACTTTCTGAATTATCTAGTCAGGTTGTCCTCAAACTGTAATGCTTGGTTTCTTAGGTGTTTGTGAACTTATCCTCAGCATGTGAGACCTCCACCTTCATTGTTAAAAGTTGTAATTCTTTTTGGTGAAGATCTTTAAAGTTAATAGAAGTTCATCCTGGCTTTCTGTGGGAGCACGTTGCGACTCACCTGCTGTGCTCCCATCCTGTTATTCATGGAAAGTGATGAACTTTACAATGAACTTAAAAAAAAAGATTTATTTTTATTTTATTTATGCATAGAAGAACTGGGGTGTAGGTCACAGGTACAGAGGGTAAGAGGATTCACCAGAGACAGAGTGGGGAGCAGAACAGGCAGATGTGCTGAAATACTCTCCTAAGGAGAGCAGCAGGAGAGACAGGAGAGGTCTGCTGCGCCATATGTGGGTTAGCAACCTCACCAGGGGTTGAACTCATGCAGCAGTGGCTGTCGATAGCTTGATAGTGCTGAGACTTTAAACCCTGCACCACCAGGGAGTCCCTTTACAATGAACTTTTTAATGTAGCTGCATAAGGGTCTGTGGCTAGAGGACCTCAGATTTCTTGTCAGATTCCAGAGGTTAATGTACTTGAAACCTCTAGTCCACTCTTTCATCCCATGATAGACTCCTATTTCACCATGCCTCACCTCTGTTTAACGCTTCCAGTGGAGGTGGTGCACACTACAGTCAGCGTTTGGGATTTGGGAGCTTATCAGGATCCCAGAGACCCTGTGCCCAGCTTTCAGAGTGCTAAGTGACTTACAACTTTTAGTGGCGAGTTTTCGATCCTGCTGCTTGGTTTCACTTCTGCAGAACTTTACTTAAAACTTGAACCTATTTAAAACCATTGGTTCTCATCCTAAATTCTGGAGTCATAGCAAACAAATGTCACTATCCTCCCAGTGATGTATATATTGCTTGTGACAAGTTATTTCACTTTTTCACTTGGTAGGTTCTGGGTCTTGCCTGAAGACTGCAGTTTGCTTTTTAAGGTGTTAAGAATGAATGACACACTTTTATCTGAAAGTGAAACCTTTGTAAAAAAAAAAAAATTGTAAAAAAGAAGAACTCATTTGACATTACAAGTGACCATTTCTTAATGTAACTTTTGCATATATGAATTTTTGTAAGTTTTGTTATTTATTTTTCATTGAGATAGCATCATTGTTTGTGTTTTAAAAGTATAGGATCTCCCCCCTTAGGTGTTGTTACCACACTGCACCCACCACCAAACCCCCCTCAGTCCAAAACACCCATCACCATGGCCCACTGTAAGCCCTTCCCACTTTGTCCTCACCTCACCTTCTCCCACTCCCCAACTGGCAGCCTTAATTCTGAGAGGGTTTTTCTATTAAAAATAAATTATATTGATTTTTTTACTTTTGAAATTAAATTTTGAATAGATAATATATTTACATTGTTCATAGATAAGAAAATAGGCCTAGTTCTCTTACCTCCTTGTTTCATAATGATTTCAGGGTTTCACAATGTAAATGTAAATGCAACAAATATAAATATGTATATATTTTAAAATAGGTATTTCTTGAAACAAAATACATACACTGCAAACACATCTCTCACTTGGTCTCATTTTAACTGATTCAATAAGATGCTTGGGAAATACTGATACGATTCTGTGAAGGTAACAACTATGAGTTTTGTGGACTGGGTGCTTGTGAATAATAGTGATTGACTTACAATTCTCTGACTTACAATAAATAAAAAGATTTGTTTTCTTTTTTGCCTTTGAGTAGTATCTTTGATTTTACTTAATAAATTTTACCCTGATTATAGGATAATAAATGCTTATCAGGAATATTTGGGAAATGCAAGAACTCATAAAGAAGAAGCGTTAAATCATTTATAATTGCACCTTGGCAGACATTTTCCCATTATTTCATTCTTGTCCCTGATCTTCCCCACCCCCTTTAAATGAACTTACACCCTGTCCCACCACCCTCAATCATGAGCCAGTAAAATTCGGCATCACCAATATCTGTGGTTACTCCCAAGTCTCAATATCAAGTGTTGATAACCACCTCACATCATTCCATGTCATCGTTTCTAAGACCCTGTCTCAAATCTTCAGTGCCACCCTGACCCCTAGTTAGTCGATTGTCCTATTTGCTATCTTTTTAGTATCAATACCTCCCTTACTTCTTCTATACCAGCTAGAGGCCATCATTAAACTGACTCAAAATCACCCATTCTTTCAGGATCCAAACTCTCCTTAATCTCCTGTGCTTGAGTAATTCATGTTTACACTGGGATTCCTGGATGTGACTAGTTAAAAACTTACAATGTTGCAGGCTTGTCTGTTGAAAACCAATGACACAGACTTCTGATAGCTTTCAGTGGTTTCTAGTAATTCTCTGACATTTCCTTAGTTACGTCACTTTTGCTCGCTCAGATTAATTTACACCTTCTTTTGTCTCCTCAGGTTTCACTTCATTCTCTTCACTTTAATTTGATGGTCTCACCCATTTCACTGAGGGAAGTGAGCAAAAGAGATTTCCACCTTCTACCACCAATTCTAATCAAATTGCCTGCATCTTAACCTTTTTTTTCCTGTTTTTCTCTTCCATCAACAATAGGTGCTCTGTCTCTGCTACTCCCCAAAGCTCACACCTCAAGCATGGATCATCCCCTCCTGTATACCCAAGGACATTACTCCATCCCCTACCTCCTCTATGCTGCTCTATCAACTTCCTCCTCCTCCCCAGGACCATTCCCCTCACCACAAAAAATATGCTGTAATATATCGTTCCTTCAAAACCACAAAGAAAACAAAACAGAACGTCCTCAGGTGCCTATCTTCTGTCTAATGCACAGAAATAGACCCTGAGAGGAAAATTCTTAGCAAATAATTTGTCTAGGAATTGCTCTCAGGAAAAACCTGTAGGAAGTTGAAGGGAGGTGAGGCCAAGCTATGTTATCTCACCCTGACCTGAGCAGTTGGGGAGCTCTGGAACTAAAACAATGCCTGAGAGTTCCACTCAATTGTAGATAAAGATCTGGGGTTCTGTCCTTGGTTAAGAGCTGCCCCAGGTGGGCTAAAGTAAACTTCCAGACACTTTCTGTGGTCTGAGGGCAGTACATGGTCTCCTTTTGCACATGTGAGCCTTCAGAAGCAGAAACTCCTATTGCATGGTGAGCTGGCGTGGAGTAAGAGAGGTTGGAGGGGAAGCAAGAAGATCAGCAGAGACCTACCTGGAGCACTGATAACACTCCCTACATTCTCCCTCTTGACCCACATCATATTTCATTTTCCCACTATTATCCATCCTCAGCCTTGTTCCAACATTTGTAGGACCTCGGGCAATTAACTGTAAAATCAGAAGCCCATAAACCATATGCATAATTATAAATATCCAATAAAATATTCATTTCACCCTCCTTCTTATAACTTATATAAGTATTTAACTTATATAATGTTAAATACACAAGTCAGTCTAACCTGACTTGAAAAGCCAGGTTAGAAACGATCCCTTTGTGGTGTGCAGCCTGCTCCTGCTTTCCCAATCCCAGTGCCTCCAAATTCCCTGAAGCCCTAATATTTGCAAGGAACAAGAACAGTGCCACAACCAGTTGGATTAGTGTAATTCAAAGTCAGAACTCTCTAGAATAATTGTCTTCTATCTCAACCTAAGAATTTAGAGGTATTTCTTATAAAGTCCCACCTTTTTTCTTTAGTAATCCACTGTAGATCTGTCATTTATGAATTTTTCTTTCTCCTCTTGACTATTTCAGGACATTAAAACAATATTGAAAAATTAATGAATAAGCCACAAACTGGGAAATGATGCCACATATATCACTGACAAAGAACATACAAATATATATTCTACAATCCTATAAAATAATGAAACAACCTAGTTGGAACAGTGAAAAACATGAACCAATAATTAAAAGAAAAGGAATGAGCAATAAACATATGGAAACATAATCTTCTTGATAATTAGAGAACTGCAAAAATAAGGTCACCAGGAGATACCATCTTATTCCCATCAAACTGACACCAGGTAAATATCCTTCAGTACCAAGCATAGGTGAGGATATGCAGCAAAGGAAGTCAGTCTCCCTGCTTGGAGAAATGTAAATCAACACAATCACTGCAGGGAAAAATTTGACAACATCTCTGCATGTTGAAAATGTCTGATCCAGCAATTTCATTTCTGGGTCTATATCCCCAAAGAAACTTCCATGTGAATCAGAAAACATGGAGGAGTATTTTCAGATAAGCATTGTTTGTAAAAGAGAGAAGAAAACAAAACTAAGCCACCTAAACAACCTAATTAGCTATTCATATGTTAGATACAAGGTGGTACAGTCACATAAAGGAATATTTCCCAACAAAACAAGGTGATGAATGTGTTAGGTTGAACCACATGAAATTGTCTTTCTTCTAAGTTAGGAAGAATCAAATGGGGCAATCTCGTACTGTTCAGATGCCTGTATCAGAACACAATGCTTTCTCAAACTAGATGGTGTGAACACTGTGAGTGTACTAAATACCACTGAATTATTCACTTTAAAATAGCTAAAATGTAAATAAAGTCTATTTAAAGTAGAAGCAACGCTGAGCAAGTAAAATATATACACTATGATACAACTTATATAATGTTAAATACACATAGCCATTTTCTACCTTGCCTGTGGATTCGTATGTATGCTGTACAAATACAAGACTATGCATGGGGTTGATATGCAAGTTGTTGAGAATAGTGGTTACCTGAGGTGGAGCTGGAGTTTGGGGTGAGAGGGAGGAGAATGCGTTGAGGAAAGAATTACTCAGGGCCTGGGATCTGTGGGTATTCTTTTCCTTTAAAGTCTGTTTGCATGTCAATGCTGATTAATATAATCTGTTCATCAGGTGAGGTGATTTCTCAGCATTCTTGAGTGCTTGGCCTGATAAGGGTGGGGTGGTTTTGCCCTTTTGGTTAGGGCAGAGTAAGTTTCTTCAACTTTGTACCTGTCTGTCTTCTTGGGGATGGTTATTTCTGTGATGGTGATAAAAGTAGTGTTGCCATGGCAGGGATGGGTGGCATTGAGTGATTTTTATTGCCCCAAGTAATCCTTACTGCACAGTCACCACTGCGACATCTAGTCTGGATGAGGAAGCAAGCCAACAGATGGAACATTTCTTGTGATCTTTCCCTAAATTTGTTCTGATAAACCAGTGTCAGTCAAAAGATTCAAGTGCAGACTCAGCCTTCTTCATCTATTACCCCTGCTTCCATCCCAGTGGCGGTGACATGTCTCTACTCCCTGGGAGCACAACCAGAAACTCTAGAGATCATTCCTACATGATCCTTCTGCTTTGAAAGAATCCTCCACCTCCATCCATGTCTTCCTGAATCCCCAGCTCCGGCCCCCCTGTAATTGATATAGGGCAGCAAGGGGCACTAAAACTGGCCAAGGATACTGCCCAAATAGTTTACCGGTCACTGTCTGAGTTCTTTACCTGTGCACACGATTGCAAGACTACTCAGACTCAGGGAACAATAACAATGGGATTTATTCAACAAACCAGGGAAAAACAAAGAGTTACTGAGGCCAAAAATGGATGGCCGTTTACCTCACCCAAAGCCGTGTCCAGTGTTTTTAAGTTCCAGACAAAAGCAGCTAAAATGATGTCTTCCCACCACTGAGGACATGGAGCTCCTCTCCCAAACAATAAGCCACGTGTCCAAGATGGCATTTTCCTGCCACTGTGGACGCACGGCAGCCAGACTATAGGCAGGGTTCCAACTCCTGAATGCACCAGAAGACACAACAGGAGATGCTCCATGAGCTGCTAAGATGCCCCAGTGCAGCACCAAACAAACGACACTCAAAACAACAGCTACATCAGCCAAATGAGCCGACAAATGGCCACACTCATGATTTCAGCAAGGTGCCCTGGCTCCGGGTTTTCACCTTCTCTGCCAGGCTATAACTGCACCAAACCAAGGAACAGTTTCAGTTGCTCGGCTACATGCAAAGCCTCTGAACTTTTTTCTCTGAGGTTGGCTGTTGGAGGCTCCACCTTTTGAGGCCCACAACAGCCTTCTAAATGCGAAACACTAAATCTTCCAAAGCTGAATCTGGAACACTAAATCCTGAAGACTGAATAAACTGCGGCTCCTTCTGCAGTTCCTTATATTTCTTCTCCATCGCTCCACCCCCAAATTTGATAGTTTTTAGCATTTTTCCTGGGGCTATCTATTCTCACCAGCAACCCCCTGCAGAGGGCACCACCTATAACAGTCTTTGGCTTTAGCTACTTGTTACATAATGAGACAGTGAGTCTATTTTGCCATGGGCTTCTTGCTGCTGCCAAAGTAGTAAGTGTAAACTATTAGTCTGCTCGCTTGCTGAGGCTGAAAATGACTCTGATCATGACGGAGTGATATGCTTTCATTTTATAGAGCAGAAAATCAAGGCTCACAGAAATTAAGTAATAAGCAAGGTCACATGGCTAGAAAGTGGGGAAGGCCAAATTTGAACTCTCTTTGGCTGACCTCCAAGTCTAAAGACCTGATCTTCCTCTCTATGCCATGCTGCTCTTGTAAAAATATTTCTTCAGGGCCTCTCTGGTGGCACAAGGGGTTAAGAGGCAATCTCTGAAGCTGTCCGCAGCCGCTGCAGCACGAGTTCGATCCCCAGCCGGCCAGGGAGATATCCACATGGTGCAGCAGACCTCTGCTGACTCACCTGCTGCTCCCCT